GATGTGTCATCATTACTTAGCTGGAATGTTTGCGTGATTAGAACCACATTAGGCAGTAAGCAAAAACACATGCCCGGGAGTCTAGTTATGAGATTTGTGCATGTTTTCTTTGAGTTGAAACAAAAGAATAATGACCAGCAGCATTCAGCAACTTAGCCTTGTCTCTATCCTATTAGGATCATAGTCCCAGGAGAGAGCTCTGGTTTTAAAAGCTATTTGCAAATGGAGAGTGACTTTTTTTATTGTAATTTTTCACAAAGCAGTTGCAGAATAGAGCAAAGGGGAAGTATGAAACGTCATGCCTTGAGGAAGTCCTTTTTTTCTGAAATGATTAGTGAATGACCAAAATGCTAAGGCTTTGTGTTTTTCATTTAGTGATGTAGGGAGATGTTTCCATTTGCAGCTTTCAGCTTATGGAGAAGGGTGTTTGGCATATTCAGATTGATGATGTACCTTGATTAGTTGGGATTATAGTAATGGTGGAAAGTCATGCCATAGTTTATGTTTATCCCTAATACAGTAACATGTATGTTATCTTATCCAAAGTCCATAAATCAAGTCTATTGAACTATAACTTCATTACGTCCCTCTATTCAGTGGTGTTTCAATACATCTTACCAGAGAGAGTCCCCCCAAATTTTGACACACTCGTTGGGACATCTGTTCATTTACTGAATGTTTATGGAGTCCTACCATGTACCAGGCACTGTTTGAGTCCCTGCAAAATGAGGAAATCAACACATTCTCTACCCTCACAGCAAAAATGTCAGGAGAGGGTCAAGGAATAATTACAAATTTGAAGAATATTTTCTTCAGTTGATGTATTTATTTTGAGAGAGAGAGAGAGAGAGTGAGCAAGTGAGTGGGGGAGAGGGAGACAAGGGGGAGAGAGAGAGAGAGAGAATATGAACGAACATCTCAAGCGGGCTCCACTCCATCAGTGCAGAGCCCAATGTGGGGCTTAAATGCATGAACTATGAGATCACGACCTGAGCTGAAGGTGGATGCTTAACTGATTGAGCCACCCGGCTGCCCTGAAGAACATTTTAAAAGAGAATAATGAGTAAACAGACTATGAGAGCATAGGAGGGACAGATCTAAGGTAGGCAAGTAGGGCAAGTGGTCAGAGATAATGTCGCTGAGGAAGGGACTTTTGAGATCACACAGATGAGTAAGGATTAACTGGGTTTCAAATCTCCGAGTTAAGAGAGAGTAGGATTCAAGGCAAAGAACACATGCCACAGTGTTCATCCCAGCGATGACTCTGTGGTGGTGCAACACATCCTGGAGGACCTTGACATCAAGGCTAAATGTTGGTATTTTATCTTACAGGCAATGGGAAGCCATTGTTGGATTTTACTTTGGGAGTGACACGACCAGATCTGAATATGTCATGATCACGCAGGCTGCTGTATAGGGAATGGCTTTCAACACGTGCAGAGATTATAACTGTTTTCATTCTTTTCATTATAAGAATGTTTTCATTCTTGTTATGAAACTCTTTCTTTCTCCTCATTTGCTGCGATATGGCAACAAGGACTCCCGGCTTACCGCCTTCAATTATCAGATCAACAACAAGCAGATTCATTCCTACAACTGATTTCACCCAACTTTTACTTATTTATTTAAAAAAAATTTTTAACGTTTATTTATTATTGAGAGACAGAGAGACACAGAGTGTGAGAGCAGGGGAGGGGTAGAGAGAGGGGGAGACACAGAATCCGAAGCAGGCTCCAGGCTCCGAGCTGTCAGCACAGAGCCCGGCGCGGGGCCGGGACTCACAAACTGTGAGATCATGACCTGAGCCGAAGTCGGACGCTTAACCGACTGAGCCACCCAGGTGCCCCTATTTCACCCAACTTTTACATGGCATTATACAATTTTGGGTTTTATGTGCTCCCCCCCCCCCAGTGGGTAAGTAGTCTGGCATTGCCCAGTGTAGGAATATATAAAGGTTTTAACTTGTGGAAGTTCTTTTGGAGCCGGCCAGAAGTAAGGCTGGTCAATTGGCGGCCTTGAAAATCAGTCCCAATGGGGACACGTGGGTGACTCAATTGGCTCAGGTCAAGGTCTCATGGCTGGTGGGTTTGAGCCCCGTGGAGGCCGCTTCAGACCCTCTGTCCCCCTTGCTCTCTGCCCTCCCCCACTCATGCAGGCAACCTCTTTCTCTCAAAAATAAGCAAACATTAAAAATCAGTCTGACGAAACTACCTGCTTGTAATTATGACCCCCCCCCATCCCGTATGATAACCCCCTAAGATTTTAGTCCTAGCACATATGAAATTATTGAACGACTCATTTCCCCCGCTGTACCTTTCAAGAAGTTACGCTACTCGGTGTAAGCCAGTATGAGAGAGGTTCTCTTCCTGTAGCAACAGACAGAAGACCGTATATCCCGGAAGGATAGAAATGTTCCTCTTCTCCCGTTCATTCTGTTCTTTGGGTCATTAGCAGAAAATCAAACATACTTGGTGTGATTATACAGGAGAAACAGAGCTTCCCGCTTTCCGGTGAACGGGTTTCGCAGGATGCAAGGCCCTCCCTGCTTTGGCCGGCCCAGGCATCACACAGCCCACCTCTGCTGCTGCAAGTGACATTTAATATGCATTTGATAGCCTAACACACCTAGAATTCCCTCACATTCAACTTTCCTGTCATTCCTTTCAAGTTCTCTCTTTATTTCCTTCTAACGGGCATATTCCTAGCCGTCACCTCAGGTAATTTTTTTTTTTTTTTTTTCCAACCAGGTGGAGGTGTAAATAAACTGAGTTTTTGCTCTGTTAGATATTCCCAACCATAGCTCCCTATCACCAAGCCCTTCTAAGGGTATTGAGGTACATGTTAAATAATATTTCAAAAATCCTGTTTCCGACCTTTGAACTAGCTGTGGACTGACATGTTCCAAGGCAACCCAAACAGACCGCCTGCAGCAAGTGCCTCCCCACCCCTGCCTCCGAATTCTGCCTGCACATAGTCAGCGAGACAGTGGATTCTAGAGTTCGGCCCAGCCCTCTTGATAACGGATCTACGTGAGCTGCGCGGCTGATCGGATTTTAGGACGGCAAGGCCAGATCCGAGCAAGGGCCTTAGTGAACGATGGTGAACGTTTCCCTGCTGTGGTCACCCCTTATGTGAGCGTAAACGGGACTTCAAAGGAAAGGGAGAGGCCAGCCTCCCAGGAATTGAGCCACCACCCCTCTCAGCTCGCCTCCTTTCGCTGCAATCCGTACAAATCCTGGGGGTTCATCAGTGTTCTGAACTAAAAAGGAGGTATTTTTGTCCCGCGGTCGTTAACAACCGCTGAGAGAAAGAGAGGCCCTCCATTCTTTTTATGTTTTCTTGTGTCATCAACAGGTCCTTTAAAGAGACAATATTCGATTAATTTTTCTCTCTTTTTTAAACATTAAACGTTTTGGTAGTTTAAACGGGTTTACTCAATTCCAGGCCATGGGTAGTTAGGGCGTCAGCAGTGCCCCCAACCTAATGTCATTAAATGTTCAACAACGACTTTAAAATAAGTAGCTTTTTGGAAGTTATGTCTTTGAAGTTTCATTAATTAGTCATATCATTGGAAATGTATGGCTAAAGTAAATTACAGTGTTTAAAATATCTACTCTTTCAATGTGAAAAATGAAAGGATCCTGCTACCTTGTCTTTATACTAATGAAGATATTATTAATTGGTTTAGCAAAAACATAGATCTAACCATAATGTGCAACAGTTATTAAAGATAATTAACTACAGATCATTGGTTTGAAACATCTAGTCCAAAATGATTTCTGAAGGGCACATTATTCTACGAGATAAAATAATTAAATTTCTAACTGCTGCATGAGACAACTGTGGCATATCTAGCGTTTTAATTTCTTTTGTTCTATTCTCAGGGTACTCTTACTGTTTTAGGTTTTGAAAAAGCTACCCGTGTTTCACAGTGAATTCTCTGTTCAGCATGTTTTGCCGAAATCTTTCATGTCTATGGAAAAATTATGATTGAAAGAGAAGGATTACAATGACACGAGACCTAATAAAAAGCCCACATAAATTCAGCCTCTTTTTCCTGGAGAGGGGAGCGTGGTAAATCAGACAAATCGAAAACTAAACAAGTTACTTTAATGAAATACCTTTCACACACATCTCTCACAGAATGTATCTTCAAACACGGAAAGCCTCACATGTGCAAAACAAATAGGGGAAAAGTAGAAGTGTGAACAAATGCCAGGTACTTGTGGATGGATGAATAATGTAATTATGTGCATACCCATCAAATAAAATGAAACAATTACAGTAAAAACAATTGAGGCACTACAGCAGAAGGCTGTTTGGGAAAAGCTGTAAGACGGGAGGCAGAAAAAATTCTGACCATATTTCTAAAAATTGTTTTACTTGGGATTTCCTATTTGAAAAAACAGTTAAATTAAAGGGGAAAATTAAGACTCAGATGTCAATAACCACAGTTTTAGGAATCCTCAACAAAATTATGACCATAATGTTCCACAAGGCTAGCACGTTAGAATGTTCATTGGTGATAATATTCAAAATGAGACCTGTAGTCCATATTAGCCTCAAAGTCAGATATTCAAATTTTTAAATATTTATCGTATCATCTTGTGACCAGGAACTTGCTTTGTGTAAAAACCAACAGTGAAAAATAATAGCGATGCGCTTTCTTTGAAGAAGCAATTCAAATTTATATTAAGTCTAAATTCATAAATCCTGCCATAATTCGTGGGAAGCCTTGTAAGGGCAATGTGTTCGGAGTCCCAGCTCAAGGCTTTGGCATGAATTATTATTTTTAGAAATATTATTAATATCTTTAATCCAGTAAGTGTAGTCTTGGTAAAATAGGATTAAAAAACAAAAATAAAGGCATTTCTTGCTAGGACTCAAGCATAAAGACACGACTGATGAGAAAATTTTGAACTTACAAAGTTTACACTGAGGCTGATTCCAGATACTTGGAAAGAACACAACCAAAATATTTAACGCATGCCTTTTTTTTGGTCTCACATACAAAAAAAGTAGAAATTCCTAAAAAAAAAAAAAAAAAAAAAAAAAAAGTAAAATAGGTTTGGAGACTAAGAGTGAGTAAAAGTCATTACAACCTCCTTACTATGGATCCATGTTTCTGAAGAGGTGTATTTGGTGCTCCCTAAAAAGAAAGAAAAAAATGTTCTTTGGTCGAAAGTTTAAGAATACAGCATGCTGTATGGCCCTTTTACAGATATGCAGGGCTCAGAAGCAAAACCAAAGGTTCTGAAAAGTCCTGTAATCAGGCTGTTCACTTAACCTAGCTCTCAGATGTTGATGTTCCTAGAACACTGATTCCCAGGGAATTAGTAGTCCCTACAGCTTTTAGGGAGACTCTGCTTTAAGGTACCTTGAGAAATAAGTTTGGCCTGATTTTTCAGGGCTCCCAAAGTCCCTTTCCATAGCCCTCTGGTGTCACTCTCTGTCATCTTCAGCCACCTACTATATCTTTTCTTCTCATTAAAACCATTTGTAGGGCTTCTGTGAGATATTTGCAACTAAGTGACAATTTAAGTTGCCTCCTAGTCTTTCCTAGGAATATATTTACCTTTAAACGTAGTATTCTAATTACAGGATAAAAGGTTTTACAAATAAGAGATTTACCTGGCATTGTCGAGGTTGGGGGTGTAAGCAAAGGGGGTTTTTAAGTCTTCCTGAGTGTAACACACAAGTAACTGCTTATTACATAGAGGAGGACGCAGATGCTTAGATGAACGATGGGGTTGGCCAAGGGCATGTGGCCAATACCATCCAAAGCTGAGGCTTAAACAAACCCGTGTCCTCTTATTGTCAAATTCAGGGCCGTGTTCTCTAATAGTTTTGTACACACACGTAGAGGTAAGTAAGCCAAGTATCCTAAATGTGACCGCAAGAGCCAAACTCACAGCTCCCAAGCTGCACTTAGCATACGGATGTACTTGTTTTTTTCTCCTCAGTGTTAAAGTTAAAAAATAATTAGTTGGCAACAATTAAAATTCAGGAGATTCCATACAAAGAGTTCTGTCTTCCTCTGAGAAAAGAGAGGACCTTGTAATATGGGACCCCCGGGATGGAGTGGTCAAGGTCATCAGGTGACCTTTCTCTATCTATTGAGCCATCATTCCCACCACTTTTTAAAGCTGTCCTTGACATTGAATGTTGGTTGCCATTGCTGCCTTACTCTCATTGTCGATGAATTCCTATCAGACTTGCTTCACTCCTTTGGATTTCCTACTTGCATTTTAGGGCTTCTTCTAGTTTCAATTCCTGGTCTCAAGAGTCGTACACATCTGACCCATTGCGGTTTTTTTCTTCCTGAAAATCTTCTTCATTTCCTCTTCAATGCCCTGAGGGGCAGCATTTTAAACTGATGGCCAAAATGTTGCCTGGAGATAAATAACTGGAACCTGACCTCACTCAACATTCTGAAGTGAGTGTAGGGCTCACCTACTGTTTTGGGTGACCCTGCTTAAAGCCTTTGGCTATCCCAAATCCAACCACACGAGCTTGCCTATCTCTACCACCACCACTGGAGAAGATAGATATGTGCTGTTCACAGTGCGTGGCGTTGGAAAGCAGTGGTATTTTTAACTAGTATCTCGACAACGATTCGGTCAGAAGACTGTCTCCCTCTTTATATTTGACACCAAATAATTACGACAATAGCTCAGGGATTCATGACGGTTAAGAAGTGCAGATGTTTTTCTCCTTCACTGGATTTCACTTGGTACAGCCTAAGGAATGTGTGATGTATGTTTTCAAGTACAAAAGCAGAACTTTCCATGGGCCGTATGGCTGTGTTTGAGGGCTCACCTGCAAGACGCGAATTTTATCAAGAAAAGACGGCTTTCTTGTAAGTCCATTTTTTAAAGTTTATTTATTAATTTTTGAAAGAGAGAGAGAGAGAGCACGCAAGCAGGGAAGAGGCAGAGAGAAAGGGAAGGGGAGAATCCCAAGCAGGCTCTGCATGGTCGGCGTGGAGCCCGACATAAGGCTTGATCTCACGAATCGTGAGATCATGACCTGAACCAAAATTAAGAAATGGACCCTTAACCGATTGAGCCACCCAGACCCCAAGGCTATTTTTGAAAAATCAGAAAAACGAGCAGTCGACACGGGCATCACTGCCAGGCCTATAATTGCAGCCTGAGCTCTGAAGTCTGAGCTGGGCTTTTTTGGCCTCCTCTCGTGAGCGTCAGCCGTTCACACGCCTGTCCTCCTCTGTTGCTGCGGGAGTGAGCTAAGGGGAGGTTATGGATGTGCTGCAATCAGATGGAGAGGTGGAGCCATCTGCTCTAACTTCCCAAGTTATTGTTGGCTCGGTGGCTGCCGCTTTGGTTTGGGTCTTTTAACAGTTCATTTAACTGAGGAGGAGGGAGTGGATTCAGAATAGGAAGCCTTTGGTATTGGTGGCGTTTCCTTGCAGATTCTCTGCTCTTTCTAACTGGCCCTTTCTAATCCCTTCTCTTCTCTCCTGCCTCACACCCGCTCTTTTTTTTCTTCTTTTTTATTCCCCTTTCTCTCTCCTTCTCTCTTTTTTCCTTTCTTTCCTGGCAAGAAAATGCTACTCCTGGATGGTTTCTGAGTCAGTTCTTCCCAGCACTGACCCCAACATATTCACCACCAGCAATCACTTACTCATGATACTTAAAATGCTTGGTACAAAGTGTCTTCTGGGATATTCTTGTTGTTTTTGAGTCGCGTCCAATAATATGGGTTCTTACTCAACAGTACCATAAGTGTGTCCTGTTAACATAGGTGTTCTGCAGTTTTGTTTTGTTTTGTTTTTAAGATGAGCGTTATTTCTACTGAATAATGGGTTCTATGTTGGGTGAAGGAAAGGTTAGGTGGAACCTTTTACGTTTCAGTCCTCATGATTTGTCTTTCCCTTAAATGTATTCTCCATCTCATTCCCATATAAGGCACTTCACCTCCAGGAAAATAATAATTACGCTCAAATGAGACCATAGTGACTTCAAACTGCTCTGAATATTACCTTACTTTTTAAGCGTGCAAAGGGATCCCTATAGAAAGAAATACTTGGGGTGTCTGGATGGCTCAGGTCACGATCTCTTGGGTCATGAGATTGAGCCCCATGTTAGGCTCTGTGCTGACAGCATGGGGCCTGCTTGGGATTCTCTCTCACTCTTTCTCCCCCTCTGCCCCTCTCTCCTATTCATACTCTCTCTCTCAAAAAAAAAAAAAAAGACAAAAACAAAAACAAGTAAATTATGGCACAGGACATCATGTTTTTTGTTTTTTGTTTTTTGTTTTCCTTCCTAGCTAGCTATAGCTTTCCTCCACCGAGGTCAAATGCAGACTCACACTCCTCCTCACCTCCAGAATCCTCCCCAGGGAAAGGCAACAGACTGACACATATGGAGAGAAGGGACCCCTCTGTCACTCCGGTGCTTTTTGATAGCAGTTCTGGTACGTTGACTCTCAGCCCCACAGTTCATCATGTGTGGACAGAAACCGTGTCTAGAAGGTCTATAGTGAGGGCTCAACCACTGTTTCCTAATAGTCCAAGTTATTTCACGGCTACGTGAGTGATGTCTGCTGCCACGTGGAGGACTGAGGCTGAGAATTACAGTGCTTTGGCTACACGAAGATGTGCAATGTTGGAGAACGAACGTTAGAATCAAGAGACTCACTCTGGAAGCCCGCCTCTGCCAGGTACCAACCGTACGATTCAAGTGAGTCAATAGGGTTCTTGCCCCATTTCCTGTTACCAAAACAGCAGTACCCAAACAACACTCGCTTCGTATACATGCTGTTGGAATTCAAGGGGATGAATGCTAGGGTGGAAAACTCAAACAGAAGCCGGATGGGTCCTGCGAATGAATACAGCGGGCTGGGCTTAAATCAGTGGGAGGTAGCTGAGGTTCCCTCCTTTGTAGGGAGTGGCAGGCCCGGTAATAAATGTCGGGACTCTGTGTCCATCAAAAGGGGCAGCTGTTCTTACTTGCCCGTAGCCAGTTTTTGCAACGGAAAAAAAAAGTGGGGACTTGGCGTTGCCAGATTTTTCCGGGAAGCTGGAAATCCGGACTTTTATGTGAAGCCTCCCAATTTTTAGACGTTGGCCATTAATTCAAACTTGAAGCACAGTGTGGGCCAAACAAAACACATCTGCAGGCCGCATCAGCCCTGGGAGCCTCCATTTGTGACCCCGGATACCACGTGAGCATGTTTGTAGCAGAACCTGCCTCACTGCAGATAGTCCGTAAACATTTGCCGCATCCTTTCCTCCTATGAGATATCTGGGACGAGAAAAAGAAAAAAAGATTTTATTTGAGCTTTCTAGAATGGTATGTGATTGCTCACTCTTAAGGGTCAGATGTAGCAAGTCCTGTATTAACATGTTCAGTCTCAAGGACGAAACGGCCCACTGGCCGTTGAGAAACGCTGACCCCGAGGGGAGGGCGCGTGTTTGGAAAATTGATTTGTATCCTGTGACTTGCTACTCAAAGTTTCATTCTTGTTAGAAAACATACACTGAAAAGATGGCTCAGGCACTTCAGGATCACAGCAAGGAAAATTCGCCATTTGCGCTGCCCGACTGAGTTCCTTTGAATTCCAGTAAGTGAGTGAGCAGCTCCATTCGGAGGAGTTTCCTTGGTCTTCCGAGGGGCAGGACCTGGTTTTCCCTGGCACATCTTCACGCTGCTCACTCCTTAAGTAGTTTCACTTACTTTTTAACTGTTACATGCCAACAAAACAGGTTGCTTAATTGGTTTGACCTTTCACAGTATTTTTTAATTTTTCAATCTTAGTTTCGTGGTTCCATCTGGCCCTTTAAAGCGACATCTGGTTAACTGTACTTAACCAGCTGATCACTGTACAGTTATTTTTAAATGTAATGTATGCTTAAACAGATGTTATTTTTATAGATGTGGATCTAAACTGCACTTGGGTACGTGCTATGTCTGCATAAACTCTTTCTGCAATTCAAATGTTGACACCCAAAATTACAAGCCAGAATGCTTATGAACTCTACTATTATGGTACTGCACTTTGGTGCCGCTTGTTAGGTAAACATCAATTCAGTTCTTTTTTTCTCTCTTCATTGCACATAAATAAAACATTAGCATTTAGTTTATAAAGTGATGAACATTTTGCTGTGTTGGATTTAGCTTTATAAATACAACTGCTGTCAGCAAGAAAAAAGGATTTATTGAATAAATAATAAGAAAGCTAAGGGAAAATGAAAATATATATATTATGCAAAACATGGTGTCTGTCAACAGGTCACAAAGGGGCCTCGATGCTTTTGGTGTTGCTGTCGGAGATAATTCCATCTCTGGCACACTGTGTCTATAGCGTTCCGGACCTTCCTCTCACGGTAGGTGTTTGAGATTTAATCCAGGAAGCACGCTATAGAAAATAATTTATTTTGTAGAACCCTGAATGCCTAACTGTCCGGGGCATAATTAACATTTAGAACAATTTAAATATCTTCTTCACCGGGCACCGAAAAGGCAGAGAAAACTTGATAAAAAGAAAATCTAAGGGGCCTTTCAATTCTGTGGTTTTTCTTTTCTTTCTTCCTTTTTTTTTTTTTTTTCCTCTCCTACCAGAAGAGAGAAAAGAGAAGACCGCAGCGGTTCGTAGATACACCAGGCAAGGCTTTTCTGATCGTGAAAGCATCTTTAGCACGGAGCCTGTCTGGTTTGCGAGAAAAACCGCGCTCTCCCAAGACCCTTACGGCGGGTACTTTGCATAAGACACAAGGTTGAGTCTTGCACTTGACACAGAGGAAAGTGGTCACAGCCGAAAATATTTGGCCGAGAACTTTAAAAGTATCATTCTCAAGGTTAACAATTGCTGTTATACATAATACCTCGGTAATTGATAGGCACTTGGGCTCTCCAGGGTCCATTTTCTGTGAAAAACACCACGTAACATCTGTTCATAAACAGTCCTTCTGTGAAAACACTGACACAGGTCTTGAGCTTCCACGGGCTCAATTCCCCTGCCATGTGCAGATGGCACGGTGTATTTATACAGCTGAAGTCTGTGTAACAGAAGCACAGCCATGTCTCCAGGTAAGACTCCAGGCAAGCGTGTGCTGCTGGTCCACCGCCTCGCCCCGGGTTGTGCAAGGGGTTCCTTCTGACACAAAGACAAATTGTGTCCCCCTAATGGGCGGGATGTGTCGGGGAAAAAAAAAAAAAATCACCTTCGGCAATCCACGTCTAACTCTGCGGAGGGAAGGACGTTTCCTAGGCTTTTCAAAAGATTCCCCGGAAACACCTTAACGAAAACCTAATTAGGTTACAGAGGTTTTGCAAAACTAAGTACGACCGGGATCATGCAGTTGTCTTTTTTTAGTCTTTTCTTTTGGCCCCGGTTCTTCACGCGTGATGTTTTGAGG